AGCGATGGTTCAGGCCAAATACAAAGCCACGGGAGACTCTGTCCATGTGACCGCGACCAAATTACCCACGAGGGCGATTTCATCACGAACAGTGCATGCCGATTCGCCAGAGATGCTTCATACGCCACAGACACCAAAGGTCTCGAGGATTTGGGGGAGACCGGAGACACCAGAGACGCCGGACACGCCGCAGACACCCAAGACACCGCACATGCAGCAAACGCCAATGTCGCCCATAACTCCCATGACGCCCATGACGCCCATGACGCCTGTCACGCCGCCATCCTTCAGGTTGCCTCAGGTTCTCTCAAAGAAAAGCGCAGACAAGCGCACAAAAACTGCCATGGCGGAGGCTGTAAAGAATTTGGTCCTGAGTGCACTCCCAGAGGCTGTCAAGAATGGACACGCTGTTGACAGCGACCCTGGGCAGATGGTCGTCAACGTTGTGTTACAAGCTGAGAAGATGATCTTTGGCGACGTCATCCATAATGCTGTGAAGGATAATGGTGAGCTAAAGGTAGTTTTGAATCGCTGAGATACAAGCCAAGGTGCCGCACCCAAGAGGCAACCTGGAGATCCATCGCTTTCCTGTTTGAATCGAGCCAGTAGTCTTATTTCATCATCACTACGGCATTTGATTCTCGTCGTATGCTCTGTTGACAATGCGCACGGCTCGATGTGACAAATCACTCTTGTGCCGCGATGGTTCCAAAAGTCGGCATATGGAGAACAAGGTTCAAGCGACGCAGTGGTACCTGGTGACTGGGTAATGGGCATGTTCGCATCGGCCGCCTCCGCCAGCGACGACGGAGATGCACATATCCACGCTTCTGTGGCGCCAAAGATGCCACACGACATGCACTGATAAGGTCGGCCGCCGAAGTTGCTCGCCGTCTGCGGGCGCAACTCGGCCGAGGCCGGTGGAGGTGCGGAGCAGGAGATAAGATGCCGGCGTCTCCGGCCAATCGGCGTCGACCGGCGGTGGTGCAGTATAAGGAACAGCGGCTGCACGCAAGATGACTGCTCCCATCTATAAATCCATCACGTTGCACATGCCTCTTCGAGTAGCTGAACATCTCACGCTTTTCTTACCAGAACAACATTAGTCTGCAACAACACCCACATAACACTGTTCACACTGCTATCTCCCTCTCGCATCATGCCTTCTGCCATGCCATCTCCAACCGTCCGTCCTCTCTCCTCCCAAGGTGATGGCTCGTCACTGGGCGCCATCATCGCCGACATGGACATTGAGAACCTCTCCGGTAAGACTCGACTCTATGGGAGCCTTTATTTTGTGACTTGATGTGCTACTTGTATTTGGGAGAATACCCGTGAAATCGGTAACCTCCTTTGGTAAGTCCCCTCAGCTCAGACCATCAGCATAAGCACCTCGCTGACCCTTGCTTTTAGATGCCGATTTCAACGTGATCCAAGATGCCTTGTATCACCACCAAGTTGTTGTCTTTAAAAAGCAGGGCCACCTGTCCCCGAAGGCCCAGTACGAGGTCACCCAGCGCTTCGACCCCGCTGCTGCTGGTGCCTACGGACACAGCAAGACTTTGGACGCCAAGCGCTCCATCCTACACCCCGACCTCAAGACCATCCCCCACCAACCTCAGGTTCAGGTCATCGGCAACGGCTTTGTAGAGAGCTACGAGGGCCTAGAGAACATCACCCTGCGCCATCCCCACCACCGTACCTTTCATGCCACCCGTATCCCCGATGAGGATGACCTTGACTTTACGCGCTACTACCGCTGGCACATTGACGCCGCACTCTACGGCCTCGCACCTCCCGTAGCCACCTCTCTCCTTGCAGTCCGCGTCCCCGGCGGTCGTTCTCAGACCCTCCGCTACGACGACGGCACCGGCGACGAGAAGACCGTCCCCCTCGGCACCACGGCCTTTGTCTCCGGCGCCGCCATGTACGAAGCCCTGTCGTCCGAGGACCAGGCCTTCTGCCGCAGCACCAAGGTCGAATACGCACCTCACCCCTACGTCTGGATGAGCGGCGCCCGCTCCCGCTCCGACGGCCTCGGCCTCGTCTCCGAGGGCCGCGAGCTGCCGCTGTCCGACCTCCCGCCCGTTGACGCCGACAGATCCAGATCCTGCCCATGCTCTGGCGTAACCCCGTCACCGGCGCTCTGTCGCTGCAGGTCCACCCCTCCGCCGTGCCGCAATCGTGCACCTCACCGACGCACCGTGCTCGACGACCTCGCTGAAGTCAGGGAGATTGTGCACAGGCTGCAGCGGGCCCGGCATTGCGCCCGAAAAGGTGGTACGCCGCATGATTGGGAGGAGGGCGATTTTGTCATCTTCCACAACCGGGGCGTGCTGCATTCTGTGGTGGGTGCCTTTGCCGAGCATGAGGTCCGGCTGTTTCGGCAGTGTAACATTGCGGGGAGTGCGCTGCCAGTCGGGCCGGAGGGGGTTTAGTTCAGATCTGTCTGGGCTTGCGAGTTTGTTGTTTGTCGTTTGTTTTCTTTTTCTTCTTAGATGTTCATCTTGTTTATAAAGAGATTTATAAAGACATTGCTCTTCAACATCGTGTTCTTGACGTGGGCCCGATGCTGTAGTAAGAGATTGATGACGGACCTAATAGCGTTCTCTAGAAAGTTCTCGTTCGAGGATGTTGTCTCTAGGTGCTGTGACTTTGCACAAAACTTTCGTCCCCAGGAACAATTGAGTCTTTTGTACAGTGCAAGTCAGTTAACTATTGAGGTAATGAATGCGATAGGCACGTTTTGTCCCGTTCTCAAGGCTATGGCTCAGACCTAAAAGAGGGCTTGATTTCTCTTCGATGCTCTGGCTTGAGAGAAGGGTAGCAGTCGCGCGAATTCTTCGTCGAGTCAAAAAAAAACTGCACTTACACCTCTAGTCCATGCCTGAACTCGAAACAATTTCTCGACCAGCCGCAGACCAGTCCGTCAGCTTGAACAAGACACATGAAAAGACAAAGGCTTTTGATTGTGCGAAGCGTTGTGCTTTGTTCCGGATGTTGCAGATGAACACCCAAAGCTGTCCTTGAGCATCTTGGCAAAGATGAACATGGTCTTGTGACAAAAGAAAAAGTCTGTGAACTGGGGACGATACGCTTTCTGCGACTGTCACCATCGACGACAGAGCAGCAGATCTCGATCTCAGAGTCCATGAAATTCTACTCAGAATCATTCATGATACACGGCGTGACCCTTGAAGTTGATCAAAAAATCATTACTGGAATGGGGCTGGACGTTATGAATGGTTCTCCAAGTAACACCCTCCGTATCCTATGGCGAGATCTGAAGCCATGCGCTGCAAGAGACTCATACACGCTGCTTGCCTAGCACAACTCTCTTTACTAGTTTCATGTTCCCATCCATCGCACCAGTCCAGTCTTTGCTTTGATGGCTGGTATCAATAGATTGACTCGAAATCAATTCATTTCATTTCGAAAAGTGATTCAAAGTATCAAGCACTTTGATTTGACCCTTGCAGGTCGTCTTCATTTGCATGCGCAATACTTATACATGTGGGTTTCCGGGTTCCAGATGTCCACCCTTCGAATTCTGCATCAATGCTACTACTCATACCATCATATCATCATCTAGAGATATCTTTCCCGCGCTGAAAACATGGCCATCTCATACGTCTGCAACCGTTGTGGCAACGCCATCCACACATACAGGTTCATCAACATCTTTGATGAGAAGGCGACCACCAACCCCGAAGAACCCGTCTACTTTACCGAGCTGTTCGAACGCGGGCGGTGCACGGATCATCTCATCTGCAACAATTGCAGAGAGGCATTTGAGACCCTCTATCGGGAACTTGAACTGGCGATTCCGAACATAGAAACCATCATGGGCCATGATGTGCGGCTGCTGGATCAGCTGCGGAATGGCGTGACGTGGGTCAATCCTCAGTGTTATCAGGAGAACATGAGAGAGCCCGCGTATCTCACCATGCATGGCGAAGACGTGCACGATGAGCCGTATTATCCACCCCTGGAGGAGGCTCTGGAGGCCGAAGACGAGGACGGCGAGGAGCATTATCACGATACACAGGGCGAGAATGAAGGCGAGGATGCCGAGGAAGAAAAGAACCGGTGAGAGCTTATGAAAACTAGGCTCGGGGGTTCAACAAGTGTTGATGCGCTGCTGGATAAGCCGCCATGCTTTAGTAGTCCGGCCTCATAAGCGAGTCCGGTAGCAATGATCACGATGTAACCCCCATAAACTATTCCTATGCAAAGTGCATGATGTGATAGACCGTTGAGTGCTATCTGGGCCCTCAGAGCTGCTGGCTCAGTGCAGAGTACTAAGGCATAATCGCTTTCCGTAGTTTGCAGAATGTACTCTATAATTCGTCTATTTCTATGATTCATTTTCTACGCATGCAGAGGCCCCTTCTCCGCGAGCCCCTTGACGGCGCCGGCATTCGCCTCGTCCGCCCGCTGGATGCACTCCTCCAACACCTTCCAGAACTTGGGCACGTCAATGCCCCTCGGGATGGCAACGCCAGCGCTCCCCGCCTCGAGCTTCTTGCAGATGGTTCTGCCCGTCTGCGTCTTGCCCTCGACAGCATCGGCGTAGCTGCCCTCGGTCTCGACCTTGACGGCGAACCGCTCGCGGTACTTGACGCTGCCGCTGCTGGCGGCGGCGGCGTCAAAGTCGCGGAAGGCGATCTCGTGGGGCGTGCCGATGAGGGCGACGGCGACGGCAAGGGGGTCGTGCAGCGGGGGCCCGTCAGTGATGCCGAAGACGTCGGCGTACGTCTTGGCGAAGAACATGAGGAGCTCGACGAGCATCTGGCGCAGGGTCGTCTTGCCGGCGCCCGTCTTGGGGCCGCCCTCGCCGTAGAGCAGGAGGTCGCGGACCTGCTCGGTGGCGAGGACCTGGTGGGTGAGGTCGAGGGGGATGAACGTCAGCTTTTGGCTGATGACGGGGTCGTCGCAGAGGAAGGCGGCGGCCTCGGGATCGGCGATGATGTTGAACTCGGCCCAGGGGTTGTAGTTGCCGATGCGCTCCTCGTCGCCGACCTTGCGAGGGGAATGTCGGTGAAGCCGTCGCCAAAGGCGCCGCCCATGACGCTGACGGCCTTGACGTGGGCCTTGAGGTTGGGGTGGGCCTGGAAGAGGGCGGCGACGTTGGTGAAGGCGCCCGTCGCAATGACGTGGACCGTGTTAGGGGCCTCGGCGAGGATGGCCTCGGCCATGGCGTCGACGGCGGGCCGCGTCGTGTTGGGCTTGACGAGGGGCTGAGGCAGGAGTTCGGTGCCGTCGAGGCCGGACTCGCCGTGAATGTCCGTGGGGTGGTGCATCGGCGGCCGCGTCAGGGCGTGAGAGGCGCCGGCGTAGACGGGGATCTCATTGTGCTTGCTGATGGAGGTGAGGATGGAGGCGGCGTTCATGGTGGTTTTGCTGATCAAGTCTGTTAGCTGGTGGGCTCTTGAAGGGCCTCTTATCTCATCGATGAGAGCACCTCGGTGAACAGGTTGCCATACTCGAGCGCGGCATTTCCAAAGACGGTAGAGATACCCATGAGCCTGAAAGCAGGGTGGTAGGCGGCCAGAAGAATGGCGAATGTGTCCTGGGTCACGTCAGGGAATGAACAGAGAACCAGATGGCGACGTGGCCCCTGAACGAGCCTCACTTACATCGTGGCCTGGATCGCAATCCAGCCAGAGGGGGATCTTCGGTGAGAGGGGAATCGACATGTTGATGAAAGGCTGATAAGAGTAGGGGAGGTTGAAGTATCACAGGACGGTGCTAATGTGTGGACAGGATGTTTCCGGTAGGTGTATCAGCTCGCTGCGATGACAGCGATGAGGATAAAAATATAGATGCAGGTCAGCGTTGGTGTGATGGTGAGGATGGTGAGGATGCGGGGGAAGAGTTGGAGTCGCTCGGTGACCTTTCTTTCGGTGGACACCAGGGCAGCTAAATGAAGGGGGTGGACCTCGAACGCGGGGAATCAATGGGGAGAGCCTCGTTACTGGGATCAAGCCCTCAACCTCCACTCTACATGACAATTGGAAATGGAACAGTCGCCAGTGATTTGTTGTCGTAGCGAATGAGCCTCTTGAGCCTCTTGAGCCGAGCCGGCAACTGCGGTGTCCCGCGACGACGTCGAGGGGTGTCCAAGCCGGCCAAGGACGACGGCGCGGTCGGAGGTCGCCGCATTGCTGGTGCGTGAACCATGGACACACAGACGATAGCCTACGGAGCCCGTTCCTGAGCGATACCCAGAAAGGCAGGCCGAGGCTATGTTTCTTGTTCGTCGCTAGATGACTCAGCCGCGATGCCTTTCATGGTGGATCACGTTGCCGATGAACGACGAGATCGTGGCTTCTACTTGACTTGGAGTCGTGGGATTTTTTTTGTTTATTGATTTTTTTTTGATTGTGCGGCACCGTCTTCTTCAGGTACCAGACTCCGATGTCATTATTTTAGACAGTATCGCTCTTCAATTGTCCCAGACATCTCAAGCCCCCGCCGCCTTGCGTTGCTCCATCACCCGCAGCACGTCTGCTGCATTATTGGCGTCGCCCTTTCGCTTCTTCGGGCCCCTCTTGCGCTTTCCTTTGCCGCCCTTGTCCTCACCTTCATCGTCATCATGGCCCCATTCGGAGAGCTTGACCTTGGTGTCGTCAAAGTCCTCTTCATCCTCGAACCTGCTGGTGCCGAAGCCCATGTCGATGTCGGCATCGTCGCGGTTCGACGACTCGAGCATCTTCTTGTGTTTCTCGGCCCGCCGACGTGCCTCCTCGTCTGCCATGTCGTCGTCTTCGTCGTCTCCCTTTCGGTCCTTGGCGGCAGCGCCCAGTTGTGCCGCCCTTTTGAAGGCCGCTTGGATGTCCGGGTCCGACATGGACGGTGCCTTGCGCGTCTGCGCTGAGAGCAGCTCCGTCTTGGAGCCTTTGAAGTAGTCTTTCGCCTCAGCCTGTTTCCGTCTCGGTGGTGGTGGCATGGCCTGTTTGGCGGCTGCTTTTTCATCCACTGCTTGCGCCTCTTCCTCGCTTGCCGTCTTGTCTTTGTGTTCGTGATCCTCATCCTCATCCGAGTCAGAATCCATCCCCGCCAACGGGTCGTAATCATCCCCAGCGTCGGCAAAAATATCGTCGTCCTCCTCTTTCGCCGGTTCTGCTTGCTTCTGGTATATCTCTGGTACCTCCATCCCCAGAGGCTTGGCGTCCTTGTCGGGCCTCATGAGCTCGCGTTGCCGTTCGTCTTCCTCGAAATCACGCTGCACCTTGCGCACCTTCCGCTTTTCGTGGCCGTCCTCGACGACAATGATCATGACCTCCCGGCCCTTGTTGACCCTCTCGATCCGCGTGCCGGCCTTTTGCCTGGCGCCAATCTTCTTGAACCTGTCGCCAAGGCTCGCCTCCTTGGCCGCCTGAACCGCCACAAGTCGCGCCGCCTTCATCTCGGCCACAATCTGATCGCGCGTGCGCTTCTTGCCTGGAATGAGCGCCACCTGGCCCTTCTTCTTCTCCGCCTTGTCCGCGTTGGCAACGGCCTGCACCTCCTTGACCTCGATGCGATCGAACTCATCCTCATGTCCTCCGTGGGCAGCGCATCCTCCTCCGCCGGCGGAGCCTCCCGGTCGTCGCCGTAGACATCCTCGCCCTGCCGGATCCTCGCCAGCAGCTTGCGGTCCAGCCCCTTCACCAGATGCGTGCTCGACAGGTCGCCGCCGGCAATCTGATCCCGTTGCTTCTCGAACGTCTCCTGGTCAATCTCCTCCTTTTTGAGCAGCTCCTCGAGCGCCTTGATCCGCGCCGCGCGCTCGTCCTCCTCCTCGGCCTCCCTCTCCTTCGACCGGTCGACGTAGCCCTCGGCCAGGCGGGAGCCCTTGGGCGCCGACGTTCGGAACTTCTTCTGCGCCTGGTCGGGATTGTTGCGCGCGGCGAGCTGGCGGGCGAACTCGTTGCGACTGCTGTAGCCGCCGCCTACGGAGCGTCTGCACAGAGACATGGTTAGCATTGGAGGTAAAACAACGGTAAGAAGCAGCGCCGGGGAACGGGTGACGTACGGCGTCATGGGGATGCTGGAGCGCTGCCGCGATCCGAGGGCGCTTGGTGTTGCGCCGGCGGGGCTTGCCGTGCTCGCGGACGAGCCATTGCTGGGACTGCCGGACTGGGAGGAGCTGGCGCCCACGAGCCTTCGAAATTGGTCGTTGTTCATGGTTGCATCTTGTGGCTGGGCTGGTAGAGAGTAGACTGCGTCTTTCCACTCGAGCGATAGGCAAGAAGGAATCGACCCTCTGGATGGCTACTGCGGACTAGACACGCCAGGGTTCGTTTTCGTCTGGTCCGTCTATTACGTTCAGTTCGTCACGTGAGAACGTGTAGTCATGGCGCCTGGCTCCACTCTACGCGTGCCTGGCTTCACTCGGTCGCTCACCCCACCACACTTCCCAAGGCGGCGCTGATGAGACCTCCCATAGATTGTGAAGCCATCGTTCCTAGGCAGCAGCTTCACATTACATTCATCGCGCTTTTTGGGGTACACATCAAGATGCGAAAACCTGGTTGCACATGACTACGGCGGAGCTCAGATTTTGACTACTGAGCGCGTCGCGATACCCTTTGGCTTGCTCCTCCCAGCTGCGGGCATACCAGGCCCGGCTGGGCCGCCAGCATCAACATGGGTTCACGCCTCGAGAAGAACTCCTCGCAAGTGAGAAAACGAATTGAGGGACACAGCTTCGAAGACGAGGAGGGCGAAGAATATGAGCCCAGCAAATTCGGGGGCTTCGGCGACTACTTCCGCAGAAAGAAGATCAAGCTTCAGAACCTCGATGCGAACCTGCGCGCGGCCTCATCGGATAAGCCGCAACTCTTCAAGGGGATCGTCGCCCACGTGTCAGGTTACACGCAGCCCTCCTTGAGCGTGTGAGTGATTCCCTCCGATCAACAGCACGAGGCCGGGGACTGACCGTTGGTAAGACTTCACCGTGAGCTCGTTCAGCATGGCGCCGGCTTCCTTCAGTACCTCGACGGGAAGACCATGGCGACGCACATTGTCGCCTCTACGCTTCCGCCTAAAAAGGCCGTCGAGTTCAGCCGCTACAGGATTGTGAAGCCGGCGTGGGTCATGGACTCGATCAAAAGCCGGCAAGCTCCTTCCCTGGACCGACTATCGGTCTTGGATGATGGACCAAAGCAGAAGATTATGAATTTTAGCGCGGCAGCTTTCTCAGCCAGCGACGCCTAGGAATCAGACCGGGTACAGAGCAGTCTTCGCACCAGTTTTACGCGAATGAATTGCCACTCTGGGGCAAGAGCAGACGCTCCTGAAAAGACCAGCACGCGGCGTGCCATCCAGAGACGCCCTCCCAGAGCGGCGCCTGCAGAAGCCACAAGCTTCGGCCGCCATCGAGCCATCCCAGCTCGTCCGGCCAGTACAGCGATGGATTTGATGACTCGATCTTCGATCAGATGGAAATCGAAATGCCAGATCTCTCGCCAATACGCAGAAGACCACACCGACAGCGAAACCGCTCGCCATACAATCGCCGGCACCACTTGCTGTGATTCGAGAAGAGGCAGCGAAGGCCCCATGCCTGTGGGAATTCGAACTAGATCCCACCTGAGAAGAAGACGCTGTCCAGCGATCCAGACTACAGAGCAGAACGACCCGGTGGTGCCTCTGGTGTCCGATGGAAAGATGCCCGAGAACATGACTTCTGAAAGAACATAATGCCTGGCTCCTCTCCGATCCGCGCATGCGAAAATCCTCCACGGCAAACCCGAATTTCTTGCAACAGTACTATTCTGAAAGTCGACTTCATCACCTGTCGACATGGAAAGCGGAGCTCAAATCGAAGATGCAACGTTTGGCCAAGGAGGCCGAGTCGGGCATCCAGGTCGCCAAGCGCAAGCCGGGAACTCGACGGTACATACTCCACGTCGACTTTGACAGTTTTTTCTGTGCTGTGTCGCTAAAGAAGCACCCCGAGCTCGTCGACAAACCCGTGGTCATCGCGCACAGCCCGGGCCACGGCTCTGAGATTGCCAGCTGCAACTACCCGTCGCGAAAGTTTGGCGTCAAGAATGGCATGTGGATGAAAAAGGCCGTGGAGCTGTGTCCTGAGCTCAAGGTCCTGCCGTATGACTTCCCTGCTTACGAAGAAGCGAGCGCTCTGTTCTACGAAGCCATCTTGACGGTTGGGGGCATCGTGCAGAGCGTCAGTGTAGATGAGGCACTGTTAGATGTCAGTGCCGCGGTGTGTGATGGCGTTGGGTCTGATGGCGGGGCTGTCGACGAGGGCAGCATATGGCGGGAGCAAGAATTTGCGGACGCTCTCG